TGGTTAGTTTGTTGTTTTCTAAACAACGTTTCCCACCCCCTGACAGAAGTAGTGTAGGAAACAGGAACTGTAGAAAAAGTAAGGCTAACAGCTTCTTCTAGCTTCTGTTCCCTAAGCTTGCCTGCAATATGTATAGTTCGAGTGAAGCCATATAGGCTTCAGCAGGTGCGGGCCCCAAAAGGGTGGTGACTGCAGGTCATTTCCTGATAAGAGGATGGAAAGTCTCAGGGAGCCAAGATAACACAACAAAAGGCTGAAATAAAATGCAGAGAAAACGCCCTGGTTCTAGAACCAATCAACTGACAGCCCGGGACCAACCAGAGCCAACTAGAAAAGGGATGCAATAAAATGCTGGGGAAAATTACGGGAGGAGGGAAGAAAAGAAAAGGTATTTAAGAGATACCTGTAGCCCAAGGAGGGGTCCTTGTCAGACTAGAGGCCACTGCGATTGGTGCTCTGACACTCGGACCCTAGCTGGAGCTAGTCAATAAAACTCCTCTTGGTGATTTCAGCCTCAGTGACTCTGTCTCTGTTCTGCGGGACTGCGGATTCCAGCTCTAACAGTAGGATGGATTCCTTACAGCAACTTCAGTAAAAAACAGATAAGCAAAAAAAGGAAAAAATTTTCCTGGGATTCCCACCACCCAGAAATGACCGCTGTGGAGACAGGTGTACACAGCCTTCGATGGATGAATGCTTCATTCTCACAAAGGTGAGAGCAGGCTGCAGGGGCCGCTTCCCTGGGTTGGGAGGCAGTTTCCCCCCCAGCGACAGAGGCCGATTCTTCTCCCAGCCTCTAACTAAGCAAGGGGGAGGTCGTGTCCGAGGGGACACGGAAGGAACTGCGCATGCCCAGACTGGCTGGCTTGCGCGGGGTCTCCGGCCTTCGCCCAGACATCTGGTGGACCAGAGATGTCCGCTCATACAGGAATGCACAGTTAGTAAGATTCCTGTGGGGAGCACCTAAAACCACCTTCTTGGCCTGGCGTGATGGCTCACGCCTGTCATCCTATCACTCTGGGAGGCCGAGGCGGGTGGATTGCTCGAGGTCGGGAGTTCAAAACCAGCCTGAGCAAGAGTGAGATCCTGTTTCTACTAAAAATAGAAAGAAATTAATTGGCCAACTAAAAATATATAGAAAAAATTAGTCGGGCATGGTGGCACATGCCTGTAGTCCCAGCTACTTGGGAGGCTGAGGCAGAAGGATTGCTCAAACCTAGGAGCTTGAGGTTGAGGCTCCTGTGAACTAGGCTGATGCCAGGGCACTCTAGCCCAGGCAACAGAGTGAGAATCTGTCTCAAAAAACAAACAAACAAAAACCCTAATCCTAAATCACCAAATATAATAGTGGGAAAATTTTGACATTATAGCCAATGTTCTTCCATAATAACTTTTTAAATGGCTGCTTTATATGGCTGCATCCTAGTTTACTTGACCATTCCCTAGCGTTGGACATCTAGGCTTTTCCCCAATCTTTTGAAATATAAATAACCCTGGTGAGGGGAAGCATACTCCTGAGGGTCAGTCTGTGTGAAAGATGGGGTCAGAGGGCTGTGAGCAGCTAGACGGGGGGTTGGCAAACTTTCTGTAAACCGCCAGGGAGAACAATATTTTAAACTTCGCAGGCCAGGCCGTCTTTGTCACAGCTATTCAACTCTGCCATTGCAGTGTGAAAACAGTGTGAGAGACCCAATCACATGAATTGGGTCATTCTTGTTGTATCCAACTAAAAGAGTCGAGAGGCCAAGGGGAAAAAAGCATTCCGGACACATAACATTGCTCCAAAAACGTGATTCTCTGCAAGTTTGGCTGCTCAAACTGCCTGTTGTAAGTTGAGACAAGTTTTATCTGTAACTGCTGAGATAATTTGCTGCAACTCTAGGACGCATTTTGTCCACTGCCGTTGCACACCGGTGACAGCTTGCCAGCTCCCCAGAACCTTACTAAGGGCCAATGAACTTTCTCAAAGAGCGATATGTAACATTTTTCCTTTTTATAAAACCTCCAACCTCCTCTTTGTTCTTTGAACATACCAGAGACAACCCAGTCTCCGGGTATGCCCCAAATTGCAATTCTTTCTTCCCAAATAAAACATTTTAATTTCAGAGATTCGTCTGGGTGGCAGGCTGAGTTTGGGCTGTGGGTCACAGTTTGTTGAATCCTGAACTACATAGGGCTAGGGAAGCAAAGAGAGACCTACAGAAGAACTAGGAGGTATTAACTCCTTGTGGCAGAAACTGAGTATTTGTTTCTCCCTTTTCCGTAGCAATAGCATATCTGGGCACATGAGTACTAGAATATAGACTACATTTTCCAGTGCTCTAATAGCTACATGCAGCCAGTGGGTTGTATTATAAAAGTATCTAGTGGTAGCTTCTGAGAATGTTCCTTAATATACATCTGTCATATTACCTTGGCCCCTTGTTTCTTTTCTGGAATGTGAATGTAAAGGCAGGAGTCAGAGTGGCAACATTTGACCATAAGATGATCTTGGGAAGTGCAATAAACTGAATGCGATGAGTTTTTACATACAACATCAAAAGCATGATTCATGAAAGAAAAAGATGATAAATTGAACTTCATTAAAAGTAAAACCTACTGCTTTGCAAAAGACTTTTTTTAAGAGACAGGGTCTCACTATGCTGCCCAGGCTCACCTCACACTCCTGGCCTCAAGCGATTCTCCCTTCGCAGCCTCCCAAGTAGCCTGGGATTACAGGTGTAAGCCACCACTCCCAGTCAAAAGACACTATTAAGAGAATGAGCCGGGCGTGGTGGCTCACGCCTGTAATACTGGCTCTCTGGGAGGCTGAGGCGGGTGGATTGCTCAAGGTCAGGAGATTCGAAACCAGCCCTGCAAGAGCAAGACCCGTCTCTACTATAAATAGAAACAAATTAATTGGCCAACTAATATATATATAGAAAAAATTAGTCGAGCATGGTGGCTCATGCCTGTAGTCCTAGCTACTCGGGAGGCTGAGGCAGTAGGATCGCTGGCCCCGGAGATTGGGGTTGCTGTGAGCCAGGCTGCGCCACGGCACTCACTCTAGCCTGGGCAACAAAGTGAGACTCTGTCTCAAAAAAAAAAAAAAAAAAGAGAGAATGAAAAGCCTGGCACAGTGGCTTGCACCTGTAATCCCAGCTACTTGGAAGCTGAGGGGAGGATCATTTGAGGCCAGGAGTTTGGGAGTTTGGGACCAGTCTGGGCAACATAGTGTGACTCTGTCTCAAAAAAAAAAAAAAGAAAGAAAAGAAAGAAAAGAACAAAGAGAAGAAAAGAAAGAAAGAAAGTTAGTTTTTAAAAGAGAGAGAAAAGACAAGCCATAGACTACAAGAAAATAATTGCAAATCACATTTCTGGTAAAGAACTTGTTTCCAAAAATATACAAATAACTCTTGAAACTCAACAATAAGAAAACAACCCAATTTTAAAATCAGCAAAAGATCTGAACAGATACCTCACCAAAGAAGATATAAGGATAGCAAATAAGCATATAAAAATGTCTAACGTAATTTGTCATTAGAGAAATGCAAATTAAAACAATGAGGCCGGGCATGGTGGCTCATGCCCATAATCCTAGCACTCTGGGAGGCTGAGGCAGGAGGAACACTCAAGGTCAGGAGTTCCAGACCAGCCTGAGCAAGAGCAAAACCCCATCTCTACTAAAAATAGAAAGAAATTAATTGGCCAACTAAAAATATATAGAATAAATTAGCCGGACATGGTGGCACATGCCCATAGTCCCAGCTACTCGGGAGGCTGAGGCAGAAGGATTGCTTGAGCCCAGGAGTTTGAGGTTGCTGTGAGGTAGGCTGACGCCATGGCACTCTAGCCCGGGCAGCAGAGTGAGACTCTGTCTCAAAAAAAAAGCCCAAAAAAACAAAAACAGAAAACAACGAGATTCCACTACACACCTATCAGAAAGGCTAAAATTAAAAAAACTGACAACACCAAATGCTGGTGAAGATGTGGAGCAATAGGAACTCTCATTCATTGCTGGGTGGAATGTAAAATGGTGCAACCACTTTGGAAGACAGTTTGGCAGTTTCTTACAAAGCTATACATAGCAGCCAGTAGTCACACTCCTAATTATTTATGCCACTTATCTGAAACTTATGTCCACACAAAAATGCTTATATGAATGTTTATTGAAGCTTTATTCATAATTGCTAAAAACTGGAAGAAACCAAAATGTCCTTCAATTGACAAATGGATAAACAAACTATGGTACATCCATAGAACAGAATATTATTCAGCAATAAAAAGAAATGGACTATTGTCAAAGATAAACACACCATTACAGATGGTGGCTCACATCTGTAATCCCAGTACTTTGGGAGTCCAAGGCAGGAGGCTCACCTCAGGGCAGGAGCTCAAGACCATCCTGGGCAACAGAGTAAGACCCCCATCTCTACAAAAAATGAAAAATTAGCCGGGTGTGGTGGTGTATGCCTGTAGTCCTAGCTACTCAGGAGGCTATGGCAGGAGGATCACCTGAGCCCAGGAGTTCAAGGCTGTAGTGAGCTTTGATTGTGCTATTGCACTCCAGCCTGGGCAACAGAGCAAGACTCTATCTCTAAAGACAACAAAACAACAAAAAAACACACAGCCAGACATTAGTTAAAGCAGAGAAAGTTGGTTTTATTTAACAACTATTGACAGTAGGGGGAAAGCTGAGCTCCATTTCGATTTGTGCAGAGGGGATTTGGATGTTATTTATTTATTTATTTATTTATTTATTTATTTTGAAACAAAGTCTCACTCTGTTGCCCGGCTAGAGTCCCATGGGGTCAGCCTAGCTCACAGCAACCTCAAACTCCTGGGCTAAGGCGATCTTTCTGCCACAGCCTCCTGAGTAGCTGGGACTACAGGCATGTACCACCATGCTCAGCTAATTTTTTCTACATATTTTTAGCTGTCCAAGTAATTTATTTCTATTTTTAGTAGAGACAGGGTGTTGCTCTTGCTCAGGCTGGTCTTGAACTTCTGACCTCAGATGATCCACCCGCTTTGGCTTCCCAGAGTGCCAGGATTACAGGTCTGAGCCACTGTGCCTGGCCGATGTGGATGTTTTACAGGGAGAATGACGGAGGGAGAGAGCAGGGCCTCAGCTGTAGAGTCAGAGAAGTGAAAAATTACAAAGAGTTGGTCGGTGTAAATGCAACTAGGCCAGCTGTGTTTGCTAATTGGCAGTTATAGAATTTAGATCCTACCCTCCCTCAGAGACAGGGACAGAGGCCCTGTCCTTCTGAGGATTATCTTTCAAACGAATGGCTCTCAGGTCCTTGACAGAAACACTTTTGCGTTGTGAAAAATACGTATTCACAATTGTAAGCCATTTTTAGCAGATACTTCAAGAAAGGGAGGTCAGAGGTTTATGGAACAGTGTTGGGCTAGAACAGAGAGTGAGTTCACCAGAAGACCGAGCTTTTTCAAGGTATTTTAATAGGGAACTGGAGTCGATCTAGGGGCACGTTCTTATGCTTCCAGAAGCCACCCTAGAGTTTGGTGCAGTCTCAGTGCAGGGGTTTGGATAGAGTTGTTATATGTCAAGAATTCTGTGGTTCTCATGAAAAGATATGGATGAATCTTAAGTGTGTATTACTAAGTGAAAGCAGCCCGTCTGGAAAGTCTATGCACTGACGCCTGCAGCTGTGTAGCATCCTGGCAAAGGTAAAACGGTAGCCACAGTAAAAAGATCAGTGGTTGCCAGGGGCTCCAGGGGAAGGAGGAGAGGTAAACAGGTGAAGCCCAGGGCATTGTTTAGAATAGTGAAGCTATCTACAGTAACTACATACGATCTATAATAGAGAATAAACCACATTGCGCATTTGTCAAAACCCACAGAATTTTACAGAACAAAGGTGAATTCTAATATATGCAAGTTTTACGAAATCATTTAGGTCAGGGGATTCCAGGATGGAATATAGAGTGTGACAAAACAATCTAACTGCATTACAGATATACAAAATAACCTCAGTGAATGGGATGGGGGAGAAAGGTGCTGACTAAAGTGGCTTTGGAAATGAATGGAATCTGCAAGACTGAAAACAAAAGAAGACATACATAAGCACCATCCCCTAGTCCTGCAGTCCCCAACCCCCTGGGCTTCGGCCTGGTACCAGTCTGTGGCCTGTTAGGACCTGGCCGCACAGCAGGCGGTGAGTGGCAGGGAAGCTTCATCTGTCCTTGCAGCCAGTCCCCGTGGTTGGCATTGCCGCATGAGCTCTGCCTCCTGTCAGATCAGCGGGGGCATTAGATTGTCACAGGAGCCTGAACTCCACTGTAAACTGGGAGAGATCTAGGTGACACTCTCCCTATGAGAATCTACTGCCTGATGATCCGAGGTGGAGCTGGGTGGGCATGCTAGTGCTGGGGAGTGGCTGCAGACACGGGGAGAGGTTGGACTGTACAATAAATGCAATGAGCTTGAATCGGCCCCAAACCATCCTCCCACCCCCAGTCCATGGAAAAACTGTCTTCCATGAAACCAGTCCCTGGTGCCAAGAAGGTTGGGGACCGCTGCTCTAGTCGATAAAGTTGTTTCCTATAGCGTACAAGTTAACAATTGTGACACCAATCTACATATAGACTGGCGCTGAACAATTAGGTAAATGGTAGCTGACAATGGGACCAGGTCTCTCTTTGTTGGAGTAGGAGTCACAGTGAAGCAAGGGGAGGCGGCTAGAACTGACTATGGGATAAAGGATTCGATTTGGAGACATCAGTATGCATTTGTGTTTACCCTAACAGAGATACAAATGGTTCCATACAGACATATTTATAGATACATGGATATACACGGGTTAATACGCATACACATATCACCTTGCTCTGTCAGCTGAGAGGGCCTACACGTAATGACACCCTAGTAGCAACAGCACATATAGCACCGAGGTCCCCAGATCTTGGTTTCTAACACCACTCTCCAATAAAAGGAACCAAAAATTTCTTCTTGGAGAAATGGCTGATTTTTGGACTGTGTCAGGAGACTGCAAGATGAGCCGAAAGCATCTTGTAGTGACAGTGAATAAGGAAGTACTCAAACACACACACACACAGGCACACACATGTGCACATGCACATACACACACGTGCACACACACACACACAATGACTGGGGTATGTCAAAGGAACATAAGAGCCAATTGAAAGAGCTCCCGATGGCCAGAGTTGGAACAATTTGAGCAAAAAGGAAAGTGGTATTGGATTATAACTCAAAGTATAAAATACATATCCATGAGTCCAAACTGATATAAATAAATCATTGAATAAATACATAAATAAATGGGGGAGAAAAGACAAATATCTAGTGCAGAAGAATTTCAATAATTGATGTAGATACTTTACCCTTAAGGAGGTGAACATAACTCCCCAATTCCTTTTTTTTTTTTTTTTGAGACAGAGTCTCACTTTGTTGCCCAGGCTAGAGTGAGTGCCGTGGCGTCAGCCTAGCTCACAGCAACCTCAAACTCCTGGGCTCAAGCCATCCTCCTGCCTTAGCCTCCCAAGTAGCAGGCATGCGCCACCATGCCCGGCTAATTTTTTATATATATATCAGTTGGCCAATTAATTTCTTTCTATTTATAGTAGAGACGGGGTCTCGCTCTTGCTCAGGCTGGTTTTGAATTCCTGACCTCGAGCAATCCGCCCCCCTCGGTCTCCCAGAGAGCTAGGATTACAGGCGTGAGCCACCGTGCCCGGCCATAACTCCCCAATTCTTAAATGCAGGCTGCACATGGCAACTTTATTCCAAAGAGTAGAGTATGGAAAGGGAACGAAAGAAAAGAATAACTTTACAGTAAGGAAAGCTGATAAGCGCTGCCTGAAGCCAGGTGGTCAAGATCATCAACGGGGATGATGCATATTGACAGCACACCCCTGTGGTCTTCCTCCCGCAAGCTCATTACCCTTGCCTAACTGCAGCAAAAACATTAGACAAATTCCAGTTGAAGGATACGCGACAAAATACCTGAACAGTACTCCTCAAAACTGTCAAGGCCGTCAAAAACAAGGAACATCTGAGGAACTGTCACAACCAAGATGGAGACATGACAACTAAATGTATCGATATCCTGGAACAGCAACAAAAAACACACTAGGTAAAAACTAAGTAAATCTGAAAGAAATAATGGTCTTTAGTTAATCGTAATGTAAAATACTGGTTCATTCATTTTGACAAATATACCACGTCAATGTAAAATGAGGGGAACTGGCTATCTGTACTGTTTTCACAGTTTTTCTGTAAATCTAAAACTGCCCTTAAATTAAACGTTTATTTTTTAAAAATTTGAGGGACAAAGAACTAAAAACTGGATAGAAAATGAGGGAAAGATGGCCGGGCGCGGTGGCTCACGCCTGTAATCCTAGCACTCTGGGAGGCTGAGGCGGCGGATTGCTCGAGGTCAGGAGTTCCAAACCAGCCTGAGCAAGAGCGAGACCCTGGTCTCTAATATAAATAGAAAGAAATTAATTGGCCAATTAAAAACATATAGAAAAAATTAGCTGGGCATGGTGGCGCATGCCTGTGGTCCCAGCTACTCGGGAGGCTGAGGCAGGAGGATTGCTTGACCCAGAGTTGAGGTTGCGTTTGCTAGGCTGACACCACGGGCACTCACTCTAGCCTGGGCAACAAAGCGAGACTCTGTCTCAAAAAAAAAAAAAAAGAAAAGAAAAGAAAATGAGGGAAAGATATGAACAGATAATTCACAAAAAGATACAAAAGTGGCCCCCATACATTTGAAAAAATGTTCAAAATTATTCATAATAGAAACACGCAAATTAAAACCACACTGAGATACCAGATCTCACTGATATGACTGGCAAAGATTAAACACATGACAACACATCCTGGCAATGAGGCTGTGGGGAAACTGGTGTTTTCCCACATCGCTGGTGGGAATGCAAACTAGACAACCCTTCTGAGGGAGAATTTGGCAATACCTAAGAAAATTATATACACGCTTACTTTTTGACTCAGTAACCCCACTCCTAGGAATTCACTCTGAGGATATATCTTCAATAATTTGAAAATACATATTTATAAGGTTATTCATTGCAGCATGGTTTGTATTTGCAAAGTATTGGAAACAGCTTCAATGTGCAAACATAGGACAGTGGCTGAATAGGCCACGTATCTCCACACAGTGGAGTGCCCACAGCTGTAAAAACGAACCAGATCTTTATGCGCTGCTACGAGTAACTTCCAGGTAGACAGTTAAGAGGAGAAAAGCAAAGTGCAAAAAAGCATCCGAGGTGTGCTATCATCATCTAAGAAAGAAGAGGAGATAGGAAAATGTACATGTATCTGCTCATTTGTGCAAAAGAAATCTAGAAAGAGTAAACCAGAAACTAAAGAGATTGGTTGCCTACAGAGGGAGATAGGAAAGGGGTGACAAGAAGGAATGGGAATCAGGGGAGAAGAAAGCCACACTCCTCTCGAGTATGTCCTTTTGGTTAACTTTGACTCTTAGAACAAATGGTAAAGTTTCACATACCTCCCCCAATATATAACAATAAAAACAACCAGAACACTGGGACCTAAAGTGGAATACAAACACTAACAAACAAACTTAACTATTACAAAAGAATAACAGACCACACTGACAGGGATGGGGAATAAAAAACAGAACTCCCCTAACTATGGAACACAATATTTGAACTGAATTTTGTAAGGCTAAAGACAAAAAGAACCACATGCAAATACTGTACTCTAGTTAGTAAATTTATTTCTCACTGGGGTATGGGTAATCAATTCTGAAAGTACTCTATATGTATGCTAGAACTGAACAAATAAGTATATTTTAGATATGCAAGCAAGATTTATCACTGTCAAAGAAGTTACAAATAAGGAAACAGAGAAGGCTAGAATGAACCTTGTGGTATTGGATTGAAATCAGAAATATTAGTATGGACTTGTGGTTTTATTGTAGACATAGATATGTATAAGTGAGGGTCAGTATACACACATATATTTTACAGCTCTGTCCACTGAGAGATCTAGAAGAAATGACATTCCAGTAGCAATGAGCACAGCCAGCACCCAGAGCTTGGTTTCTAAGTGCCATTCTCCAATAAAAGGAACCAGTGCTCCTTGGAAAAGTGGGTGATGATTATAGAGTTGGAACAGGGAAAATATAAGGTGAGCTTAGAACATATTTTGGTGCCAGGAAAAAAGAAAGTGCTCAAAAAAGGATGAGGGCTGTCAAAGAAACACAGGAGCCAACCTGAAGGAGCTCCCAATGGCCAAACCTGGAACTATGTGGGGCGCGGTGTCAACGCCATTACAAGTTGGCGCCTGTTTTTGCAGAACTATTTGAAAAAGAAAATAAATAGTGATAGTACTAGATTATAACCCAAAGTATAGAGTGACTATATATGAGACCATAAATATAAATAAGTAATTTTTAAAATAAATAAATGAGGGAGAAATGACGCCTCTTCCTTTCAGAAGAATTTCAATTAACAAATATAGACACATAAAAAAACATAAAAAATACTTATAAAAATGCATGTTTTTTCAACACATATGGTATTTGCAAAAATTGACTATCTACTGAGTCATAAGGCAAGTCTCAACAAATATAGAAAAATTGGGATTCTACAGATCTAAACAGTCGCATCCCCGGGTTCGCCACAAGGAGGGGAGTATCTTTGCTGCCATCAGCCTAGTGTTGCACAAACAATCCAATTCTGGTTCCACTGTCATTGAGTAGCTGCTCCGAGACTCCAGGCTCTACGCTCAAGGCTGTTTCTCCTCCAGAATGTTCACAGTCCCCTGAAGGCTCCCCCACCCCTCCCACAGCTCCCCATCTCCGGGCTAGAGCCCGCCCTCCGGAAACGAGTCCTCCGGGGCGCACGCAGATGGATGTTAGGGGCGAAGGCAAGCGAGGCGCCTGCGGAAAGCGTGGTGCCCTCCCTGCTCCCCAGCTCTGGGACTTCGCAGCCCCTTCTTAGCTGCTTCCCTAGGGGAAGGAGGAAGAGATGCTGTATAGAAGAAGGAAAACAACGTTGTATGGTGTCATTAAAATCTCCGCTCATGTCCCACGGTGAGGGCTCATCAACCCAAGCCACCCCGCCCAGGAGCTGGGACTGCTCTGTCAGCTGGAAGGACTGGGGCCACAAACACAAAACGCAGTGGCAGCTGCCGCTTAACAAGACGCCCCTGCTGCTGCGGTTGTGGGGCTGGGGTGAGGTGGGTGGGGGCGGGGCGTAGGGGGGAGGGGGTGATGGGGGAGGGGTGGGACAGGGGTCTCCAGCGCCCAGAGTAAAGCTTGGGCTAGAAGTTCTTGTTGGAAGAAGGAAGGAAGGAAGGGTGGGAGGGTGCGAGCGGGCAGTGCTGTGTGTTGGCTGGCGCGCCGTCCCAGGAGCCCACTCACTGTGGGCGGCTGTGCCACCCTGGCCAGCCATCGGCCTTTGCCGGGCTGCGCTTTCTCTGCCTGTAAAACGGAATAAGGAGAGCTGCCTCACAGGGTGGGCGTGAGGGTACATGAGTGTAAGGCTGGTGGCGGCCCCCTCCCCTCCCTAGATGGAAAAAGAAAATGCTCACGTGACCAGACCCACCAAGGACAAACTACCAGGCCCCACTGAGAGGAACCACACCCAGATGTCCACCTGGATTCCACAAATACCTCCAGCCCCTCCTAAAATCCCCAGCTCTTCCAGCCAAAAGTCCCTAGCCAGGCCCAAAGGCCCTTCAAAGGGCGGTGACTTCGGGGCTCCCCTCTCTTGGGGCCCCAGAACCTCGTCCACGACTGTATAATAAAGCCACGAGGTTTGGCCCCACTCTTTCTCTCTCTGTGTCTGTCTTTTCTTTTCGCTGCCACTGAAAAACCTTACAATGAGATCATGCCCAAAAGTACTCACCAAAATGCCTGACACCTAGTGAGTGCTCAACAAAAATGAGTGTTTTCTTGTTTTTGTCTTAGGGACTTAGAAGGTTCTGGAAAAGCTTCATAGGAAGGTAGGACTCAAGCTGAGTCCTGAAGGTCAGGCAGGGCTGGGATTTGGACAGCTGGAAAGGAGGCAGAGGGCACTTCAAGTGGCGAGCACAGCATGACACGAGTGGAAGTGGAACCCACGCAGCCGGACAGGGGTCTTGAAAAAACTGGCCTGCGAAGAGTGGAGTGCTCCTGTGGAGACGCTTGGCCTGGTGTGAAGGGCCCTGAATCCTACCCCGTAGGCAGCCGGAACCTCCGAGACTGCAAAAGCAGAAAGACGGCTCTTACAGAGGATCTCATACTGCCACACAAGGATGGAGGGAAGTGGGAATGCCCAAAGAGAAGTCTGATGGTCTCCCAGAAGCGAGGGAGGGGTACAGGAGACTGTCAGTTGAGCCCTTAATAAGGAGTCCACCCAAAAAACAATTTTTCTGAGCCCAAGCTGGTTATCCACAAAAATCTGGTCTTCCTTTCTTCTCCTGTAAGAGACTTGTATTTGGGAACTTGCTGCCCAGCAAGACCTAATTTCCCAGATTTGACTTAAGGCACTGGGTGTGGCTTGGATCCAACTACAACCAAGCAGTTGGGGACAGTGCCCTAGGGCACAGCAGAACAATAAGATAGAGGGAGCCTGTGTCCCTGAATACCTTAAAGAGAGGGAAGCTCCTGCTTGTTGTCGGCCATAGAAGCCGGATGGCGAGGGGACACTGGAAGGAAACCGCTGCAATGAGGCGCATACTTTGTGCCACCGCTGTGGCCCGAAGGCCTTCCACCTTCAAATGTGGCTGCCCTGCCAAGTGTCAGACAAAGTACAACTGGAGTGCCAAAGGTAAAAGACAAAATACCACCAGGACTGGTCGGATGAGGCCCCTCCCTAAAAGCTGTATGCTGCAGATTTAGGCATGGATTCTGGAAAGAAAGAACAAGGCCTAAACCGAAGAGGGCAGCTGTTGCAGCATCCAGATCATCTTAAGAATTTCTCTGTACATGAAGCTCACAGCCAAACAAAAAATAAAAAAAGAAAGAAAAGAATTTATTTTTTCTTCTTTTTTTGAGACAGAGTCTCACTTTGTTGCGCGGACTAGAGTGCCGTGGCGTCAGCCTGGCTCACAGCAACCTCAAACTCCTGGGCTACAGCAATCCTGCCTGAGCCTCCCGAGTAGCTGGGATGACAGACCCATGCCACCCGGCTATTTTTCTTTTTCTATTTTTAGTAGAGACGGGTCTCACTCTTGCTCAGGCTGGTCTCAAACTCCTGATCTCAAGTGATCCTCCTGCCTTGGCCTTCCAGAGTGCTGAGATTACAAGTGTGAGCCACTCATTGTACCCAGCTATTTACTTATTTTTGACTTGTAAAAAAGTATATGCACTGACTCGTAAAATTATTTCAAAAATATGGTTAAATAGAGGGGAAAACATTGTTAAACCATGTATTTAGTTTAGAGCCTAAGTATTCTGACTTCTAGCACCTTAAGACTAGTTCACCAGCTTTTGAACTTCACACTAGGGAATCACTTGTGATACTTGTGATCACACAAGGGATCACAAGTATCATTCCTGCCTGTGGCTTCTTTTGTTCCATACAGCATCTCTGAGATTCATTCAGGTCATGGCACGCGGCAGCAATTCAGGTCATGGCACGCGGCAGCAATTCGTTAACTTTCACTGCTATGTAAAATTCCATTTTATGAACATACCACAGTTTGTTTACCCATATGCTTGTGGATGAGCATTCGGGTCGAGAGCCAGCACGCCCGGGAATCCCAGGGAGAAGTGTCCGGTGGTTAGTGGTGAGCTCCCCGTCTCTGCGGGTGTGCAAGCGGTGCTGGGCGTCCCGGATGGGGGTGGGGCCCCGGCCGAGACCTCCCGGGCGCCCTCGCGGGGCGCTAGGCGGGCGGGCGGGGCGGCTATTTCTGGCGGCCGAGCGCAGCCCGGTGGAGGAGGGGGAGGGAGAGGGGGAATGGGGGGAGGGGAATGGGGGAGGGGCGCGGCGCCGCCATCTTCGCTCCCGCCCGGCCCGCGGCGCGCAGCACCATGAGCGCCGCCGCCTTCCACGTCGCCAGCCTGCTGGAGAAGATGACGTCCGGCGACAAGGACTTCAGGTGCGCCCGCCCCCGCCCGCCGCCGCGCGGCCACCCGCCGCCTGCGCTCGGGACCCGGGTCCCCGCTTCGTCCGCGCGCCGCGCCAGCCCTGCCTCCCGTCCGCGCGGGGCCAGCTGCGCCTTCCGCGTCGTGCCCAGCCCCGCGCCCGCGGTGGTCCCCTGCCGGCCGCGTCGTGCCCAGCCCCGCGCCCGCGGTGGTCCCCTGCCGGCCGCGTCTGCCCAGCCCGCGCCCGCGGTGGGTCCGCCTGGCCTGCCGCTCGTGCCCGCCCCGCGCCCGCGGGTCCCTGCCTGCGGTCGTGCCCGGCCCCGCCCCCGCGGTGGTCCCCTGCCTGCCGGGTCGTGCCCGCCCCGCGCCCGCGGTGCCCCTGCCTGCCGGGTCGTGCCGGCCCCGCGCCCGCGGTGTCCCTGCCTGGGTCGTGCCCGGCCCGCGCCCCGCCGGTGTCCCTGCCGGCCGTCTGGTGCCCGGCCCCGCCGCGGTGGTCCCCTGCCTGCCGGTCGTGCCGCCCCGCCCGCGCGTGGTCCCCTGCCTGCCGGGTCGTGCCCGCCCCGCGCCGCGGTGTCCCCTGCCTGCGTCGTGCCCTGCCGCGCCCGCGGTGGTCCCCTGCCTGCCGGGTCGTGCCCGGCCCCGCGCCCCGCGGTGGTCCCCTGCCTGCCGGGTCGTGCCCGGCCCCGCGCCCGCGGTGGTTCCCTGCCTGTCGGGTCGTGCCCGGCCCCGCGCCCCGCGGTGGTCCCCTGCCTGCCGCGTCGTGCCCAGCCCCGCGCCCGCGGTGGTCCCCTGCCGGCCGCGTCAGACAGCCACCGTGAAGCCGGCCCGACTGAACTTGGGGACCCGGCGCCTGCCTCTTCTTCCCCTGTTGAAACCTCTCCTTCCCCGAGCGCTACCCCAGGCTGACTTTTTCACGGATACCCTCAGTTCTGCCCTATTCTTTAAATCTCCCAACCTGCGCGCCCCCCCAGCCGTCCCCACCTGGGGTGCTGAGACAGCCTGAAGGAGGGGGCGGGCTGAGTCTGGCTTTGTGGGCACAGGTGGATGGTGGCTGCGGAGGGCCTTCTGTGTTTTGTGTGCCGCTCCCCTGTGTGCCCACTCCCTTCCCCTTCTTCCCCCTCCCAAATCACAGAAGCACAGGAATGGAGCTGGAAAGAAGGGCAGATACATCTGGTCCAAGCCTTCATCCTCTGGGGAAACTGAGGCCCAAGGAGGAGAAGGGATGGGCCTGTGGTCCCATGGTCAGTTCTGGCCCATCGGAGCAGAAAGGAGATCTTAGAGACCAACGTGGCCACACTCACTTACGGAACAGTCTATCACTTCATCTCCATTTTACAGATAGGGCAACTGAGGCTCAGAGGCATGAAGGGCCCAGGTGCGGTCACAAAGCTAGAGGCGGAGGACTTGGGGTCCAAATCTGGGCCCCTGACAGGTGAGGAGGGTGAACCTGCTCTCCTCGCCTGACCCCTGCACTCTCCTACAATCCATTCCTCAACGCCCCACAAGAGCCGCCTACGTCAGTAGAGCCTCAGAGCTACAGTCCTGGCTTCAGATCCTGGCTCCCATCACTTATTGGCTGTGTGACCGTGGACAAGTTACTTAACCACTCTGAGCCTGTCTCTGCTTCTGTTTCTGTAAAACGAAGGCAGTAATAGAACCCACCTCAGAAGGGTGGCTTGCAGATGAAGTGAGGTAGTACCTGTGGGATGCTCAGGTCAGTGGCTGGCACCAGGTACACACTTAACAAATGGACACTCCATGATTCTGTGCACATCAGAAATCTGCCATGCCCTCTCTTCCTCCTAGACCTTTACTGGGAAGTTCTTTTTTTTTTTTTTTATTTCGGCATATTATGGGGGTACAGATTTTAAGGTTTCAATAAATGCCCATTTCCCCCCTCCCCCCAAAAGTCTGAGTCTCCATCATGACCATCCCCCAGATGGTGCACATCTCACTCATTACGTATGTATATACCCGCCCCCCTCCCCCCTCCCACCTGCCCAACACCCTATTACTGCAGTACCTATGTTACTGGGAAGTTCTTTGCACCCCCTCGACCTCACCCCTTCACCTGCTGGCTCCTACTTAGGTGTCACCTCTTTGGATGCTTCTTGACCCCAGGCAGGGCTGGGCACCTCTCCTGAGCTCCCACACACTTCTCACCTCCCCAGGTTTCTGCTGTGTCACTTCTCAGCCGGGGGACCCTGAGTTCCTGGACCACTGACTGGGACTGTGCACTTCCTTTTGGTGCCCCAGAGCCTGTGCTAGGTGCACAGTAGCTTAGTGAATGTTCGCTGGGCCCCAGGCTCCCTGGTGTGCATTCTATATGTCAGTCTGTCTGTCTGCCTGGGTAGTAGTAATTGTTCTTCCTGTTTTCCAGAGAAGTGCAGTGACTTGCCCAAGGTCACACAGCGGCCAGTTGCCAAGGGGATTTGCACTGTCGTCTCTCGGGCCTCGGGTCCAGTCTCCGGGAGACGGAGTTGGCCCTGGCAGCTACAGACTGAGAACCCCTTTCAGCCTTGAGAACAGTTAAAACCACCCCATGCATATGAGAATGGTGTCTATTTTTAAAGTCCAAATACCAGGGGGGCTGGGCCCTGCAGACCAGCTGTTCAGGCACCCATATGGCCGAGTGTTTCAGCTGAGTCGCCTCTAGGGTTTCTCGAATGAAACTGAGACTGTCCTCTGGTTCCTGGAGGGGAGCAGTGACTGCAGGTGGGGCCCCGGCTGGGTGGAGGAAGCTTTTGACTGCTCTTCTTCCTGGGTCCTGGCTCTGAGAGCTGGAGGGTCCTCTGTTACTGCTGAGGCTCCCAACAGGCAGATGAACTCAGGGGACTTACAGAAATTCCCACATCATTTCTTGAAAACAGTAGTAGTAGTTGAGGAGCCAGAAGACCTGTCTGGTGGGCTGGTTCTTCTTCCAGTCTGCTGTGTGACCTTGGGCAGTTCCTGTACCTTCTCTGAGCCTATCTGAATATCCGCCTATGCTAAGAGTTGGTTGTCCTATTAGAACCTCCCAAGGATGCTATGAATAGGGACAAAGAAAATTCTCATCTTATGCTTGGAGAAACTGAGGCCCAGAGAAGGAGGCAGTTGCCCCATGTCACCCAGTTGATATAATAAATGGCAAGGCCAGTATACTTACTTAAAGCCAAACTTTGATGCTCAAGTGCTACTCCACCAAATCACATGCTTTCCCCCTCCCATCCCACACACGTGTACAATGTGGCTTTCTTTCTCTGAGAGCTGAGCGTCTGCAGGAACTCGGGGGTGTCTGAAATACTGAGGCATATTTCAGAAGAACTGGTTTCCGAGTTCAAGTTTTTACATAGCTGTTTGGCTCCAAGCTCTGTTAAAGGCTAGTTCTCCCTCCTTCTCCTTCTGCCCTCACCCTGCCCCCCAGGCCCTCCGCAGACCTGCTCTTTGCTGAGCCTGGAGTCCCAGAGATAAACCCAGTGGGCCCCTGCCCCCCCCCCGTGAGTTTGCAGTCTAATGCGGGTGATGCTCTGGTGACCAAACTTGCGTTGCAGAGTAAGAAGTGCTGTCATGGAAGGGTGCAGAATGCTCTGAAAGGATTCTGCTTGGGAGGACCATTGTGCTTAGGGAGTGTGGGTGGGGTGTGGGGCAGGGTAGTCATCCCTGAGCTGGGACATTTGAGCTGGGCTCTTGATGGATAGATAGTTCAACAGGTAGAGAAGAAAGAGGGCAAAGGAGCGCATCCACTGGGTTGCTGGGCTAAGCTGGGCTCCCATGGATTGTAGCAGAAACACAGCTTGGAGTGTCCTCAGGCCTTGGCCTGCCTCAAATCCAGACCTCTTCTTTGACCTTACCTTGGCCCAGAGGTGGGTACAGTCAGCCCTGCCAGCCCCCTGCTCTCTGTGACTGTGAGCCCAGCCTCCTTCATTCTCTCAGCCGCTGGAGGCTAATCCAGCTGTTAAAAATAAATAGCTGTGACACCCACAACTTCCCCAGGGAACATTCAGGCCAGGGTGACAGCAACCAGCAGCCTGAGCCTGAGGGCTGGAATCCCAACGGTGACAGATTTTGGCACTGGAGGTAGGGGTAGGGCTCTTGGTTGAGTTACTCGGCCATGCCAAAGCAGGGCTGGCGGCTTTCTCTGCCGCTGCCACTCTCTGGCCCCAGACTCATCGTGTCTCTCCACGTGGCTCTGTCCTGTTTTCTCCGCGAATCTGCACTCTTCAGAGCCAGGAAATGGGTGAAGTGGGCCTTGTGGGGACTTGGTGAGCTGCAGAGAACTGCTGCAGCCAGGACCTGACTCCAGCCAGTTATTGTCACCAGGGATTGTAGGCCCAGCGTATTCAGATATTCTGTCCTCAAGAGAATCTGGAAGTCAGTATTTTTATGTCAGCTCTCCCAGTGTTCAAGTGTTGATGAGTAATCTACATTTTTGAAAACATTTGCAAGCTGGACACAGCTGAGGGCCACCGGTTTCAGACAGCTCTGCCCTGTTAATTTTGGCAGGAATGGTGCCCAACAGTCCCTCTCCCCGAACTCTCCATGGCCTGCAGCTCAGACTCTATAATTTCCAATGCCTGGGACAGGGCGTCAGGCTTTTGGCATCAGGTCACATGGATTGCCCCACATGGAGGTGGGTAACCCTTGACTCTGGTGCCCACCGTGGGTCAGGGAGCTCTGGTCTCCAAAATATGCCCCTGGCCCAGGGCAGTGGTTTTCAAAGTGTGGTCCCTGACCCTCAGCATCATCCAGGAGCTTGTTAGAAATGCGATGATGTTAGAAATCCTGGATGATGAGCTTGTTAGAAATGCGAATTCTTGGGCCCAGCCCAGA